ACCTAATTACAGTCCAACAAATGTGCTGTCTGTGTGTCTTTATTGTCTGCCTGGATAAAATATGTATAAGGGTGGGGGTAGGGGCTTTTACACATTTATTTTTTTAGGACAAAGGTGCGATTTACTGTCAAGTGCTCATCAAATTTTCTATAATAATAATAATCATAAGTAACCACTTAACATACTGTTTGATACCCATATTTTGGGTCATTTTTCTTTAAAGTGAAAACAGATACACACTTTATAAAAAGGTTTTGATAAATTTAGTGGAAATGCCAACGAACTAATGTAACAAGGGAAGAAATGTGTGTGTCAGTGAATAGGCAGTCTGACCTAAGGTTAAACAATATCTAGACTGACCATCTCATTGGATGAAGCCTGATTTCACACAAATAAATGCTTAATTACCCTAATGGAATACCAGCCCCACTTCTGAAACAAAGATGGTGGTCAATCTTCCAGGTTTACAAATAGAAAGCTACATCAATCAGAGTTTGGGGGGAACAAGATCCTCATTTATCAGGGCTGATAGGGTGAGAACAAAGTGAAGAAAAGGGCATCTTGTATTACCAGACTGATCAATTCTCACCAATGGTTATCTCACTCCCATTCTAAAGGAATATCTCTTTTATTCCAATCATACTGCACATTTTCTATGCATACCTTCAGTTTTGCAATATTTCTGAATACCACTATCATTTAATGGCCCGAATTTTCATATATTAATTACAGCTCTAATATCCAACAGCTAAACTGTTAATGGTTTTTGTTTTATGGAGATAACCTTACTAGGTTTATTCATTTGTTGCATGTAGTCTGTAACTGCTCTCTTGGTGCCTTACCAATTGTTTTGGGATATTTTTAATCACGTTGACAGTACTCAGGGGCTTTATATTTAGTATGCTCACAACCACAAAATGGCCATGTACATACATAATTAATGAATGATCACTTTTTCTTCATCACATGAATTAAGTCATTAACAGACTATGGTCTCAATGTAATGTTACCTCTAGAAAACATTTAAATAACCCAGGATCAAATTTTCATCACAGGAACATATAAATTTGACCTTTAATTACTCAATTCCTGAATTGTGTTGAAGCTGTTGATAAAAATCATCAGAATATAGTAGGATTTAGAAGTCATTCACTTTATTTAGTAATTCCCTTTATTTTCCACTAAGAACTGCTTGCCCTTGAACAGTTATAATTGAGCAGCTTATCAGCAATGTTAAGTCATCCTCTAAGGTTCCTATTGACAGAGCTATCAGGGACCAGAAGTGACAAAGCTGACATCGGATATTGACAGAAACGGGGCTGATATTCCCGATTTATGTGGCACCGATCTCTGCCATTGTTCTTCTGGCATTAACTTAATCACAGTCTCAGAAGCTATCCAAAAAAGGACAAGCCTAAAATGCCATAAAATTCACCATTATTCAATTCATATTATCAAATCTGTCCTTTGTGGGGGAAAAAAAATTCGAAAAGTAAATATTTCTGTGTGAGATTGGATATCCATCAAGTTGTTTAGCAAGATATAGGCAAAGATATCACTTTGATGTCTTGCTAAAAAACTCTCCGAAAGGAGACTTCAACTTACAAACTGCTCAAGTTGAATGAAATTAACAGCTGTAAATCACTGACTGAAAAAATGATGAAAGAAAATTGGAAAAAATGCTGATCAAATATATGTGTTCTTGTTGAGCTCTCACACACACAACAAATAAGTTTATCATCAGTTTCTATTATTGGACTGGGATTATAAACTCATTAAGATCACATTTGCTATAATCAATTAATGGAGAGAAAACTTCACATTAAGTGTTGATGCATTTTTAGCAATAATAATGTTGGGTACAACACAATGTAAAGATTAAAATGTTTAAGTTAAAAAAGAAAATTTAGCTCCTCAATTGCTTGTGGTTCTAACATTCTTCACTGTCCAAGCTGAATTTTCTCTCACTGAAAACATCAAAGAAGTCACAGTCACTTAAAATTTAAATAAATTCTAATCCTTCTTTGGAACCTGCAAAACTTTGTTCCAAATTTTGTTTACTGTACACTTTAATAAAATTTTGGGATGACTGGACACATGCACAAAGCATGCTGAAACACAAGGCAAGGGAAATGTGCTAATCCCACAATTACTTTATTCTCTCATGGAAAGTTTTTTCTTCTCAGTGAAAAAAGAATTCTATACGAGCCAGCCATCAACTCTGAAGAATCCCAAAACCTTTCCCTCTTAATCCTTGTAAGACACGGGAATCCTTATTGGAGATTTCTACAAACAGTTTATTTACTAATAAAAAGAAATAGAAATTTTCTAAACTAAAGACTCCTTCTAAATGTAACCAACAATTGTATTTATAAAAGTTATTTGAAGATGCACAATGAAAACAATACCAAGTAAATGTACCTAATATCTTTGACTTCTAGTACAATAAAATATTTAAAGGTCTGTCACATAGATCAAAATGTACAAATTTAAGGTTCCCACTGCTGATAATAAGAACCATGAGTAAAATCCCTGTCCTGTCAGTGAATAGTGTGTGTGTTAATGAAGGACCACATGAGATGAACCTCATCATTTCACATTGAATCGTAATAACTTCTATTATTCCTTCCACCTAATTACCTAGGATTTCATCTTCACCACCTTGATGTACCATTATTACAATTCACCGAACCAGAAAAGAAGTCAGCCATAGAAATTCCTGAAAGCTGTCAATTCAAATTACGACCACTAGAAAAATCAGCCCTTATATGATACTACATAAAGCTGCCAGCAAGAAAAATAAGAAAAGGAAAAAAACTCATGTCAATAAGACATCTCAAGACAGCTATTCTGAAATATGAGAGGCAAAGTTCACAGCAACAAAATGATCTTATTTATTAGAATGACACAACCAGGTTATATTTGGGTAATTTGGGAATACAGCTTTTATTATATCCCTAAATAAAAGATAGTGATGGCAAGCACACAAAAGCTGTCAATCAAAATTTCACAGCAGATTAAATCTAGCTATTGCAGCATGTAATTTCAACACACAGAGTGGAGAAAAAATGTCATTCATACAATTACAGAAACAGGATTTTCAAAGATGTTTATCAATGGAAATTTTATAAAAGTCAAAATTAAAACATTTCATGGACTTCTTTTTAAATTAATATTATATATATATTTTTAAATTCTAAAATCAACTTTTCACATAATTATATATCATATAAAAATTAAATGCAAATCAAATCCTACACACAAGTTCCTGACAATTAACATTGCTTTGGCATTCTAACAGGAGGAATCAAATCTTTGTTAATTACCTCCCCTTGCAGACTCAGTTCAAAACAAGAAAATGGGAAATATTGTAACTTGGGTGGTTGGTAAAAATGGGACAAAGAGAGGCAGAAACAGCAAACAAAGGACATGGAAATGAAACCAGGTCCTTACATTGGCAATCTTGTTTCACCTGGATCATTGAAATGCCTCTATTACAAGCACCAAGTCCTCAGTCAAAAGACTCGCATTCCCATTTATCATGGCTGATGTCTCCTCCAGCATAATGCCAAATGCTTCATTGGATAAACAAGAAAAGGGCCACCCAAGATCACCAACATTAATTCTCCTAGAGGCTGCCCAACTGCACAATTAATAATAGCTTATCTTAATATTAGCAATATAAAGGACGATGCACATTACTTATACCTCTTAAAGTCTGCACACAGCTGTCTAAAATCACATTTCTAACAAGTTTTAAATCATCATTTTTATATTTGAAAGCATTATATATGAAGCATTGGCCGTCTGGAGTCCCCTCTAATCATTTAGTTTTCATCAGGATGAATCCTTCATAGATCAAGTTATGTCCATTTTAGTTGATAATAGAAAAGGGTTTAAGGTTTTCAGTAAAAGTGACAAAGTTTTTAAATGACTAAGGGAAGTAGGCCTAACTTTTGTCAGCTAAGTCCTAAATAGACAAGTCAACTGGCCCTTTAGTTGTTGTTTTTATTTGGCGAGAACAAAGTGTTCATGCCTAATTCAGGAAAGATGTGTCGGTTCAAGGTTAATCAGATGTAATAATATTTGCTGTGATAATTCCTTTGAGCTCAGTCTGACCACGTTAAACCTGTCAGACTGTTTCAGTCTACAATTGCCTGACTGCATGTTGTTTCAACAAATAAAGCCACTTTTCTTGTCAAAGGTTACATCAATATTATGCAGTCTATCACTTGTCCTTCAAATTTTTGCCATTGTTAAAAAAAAACAGTAGCATTAAGTTGCATAAAAACCTCACACCAGACCAATACTGACTGGGCCGCCTCTACATGTCTGTTTTATCTAGCAGCCATCACTGGCATTTGGTCTGTGTAATGGCCAACTTTATCAGACCTTTATTACAGCTATGATTTGAATGCAGAAGAAAAAATTCTACCCACTGGTTATATTGGTAATCCAGAGAAGTTTTGGTAAACTTCACAGTCTAGATCATTGGCCGATTTGATGGGATTTTATATTTCCAATGATAGCTTTACTCCTCACATACACATTTTTATACCCCTCAAAAACAGACTCAAGATGATATCTCCCATTTGAACATTATACACATGGTAAACTTCCATAAACTTGATCCATTGCAAGCCTATCTGAGATTTATGATAAGTTATTTGACAGTAAATTGTTCAGTCTAGTATTCTATAATCAACACTTATTGTGTAAACAAAAATATAAAATTTTCTGTCACCTTTTTCTTAGTAGCAATACAAAAATCAAAATCATAATTTAAGTAAAACTTGTCAAAAATGAACAATGATAAAATGCTTTGAAACATTTTTTGAGTTGGCTTGCTGTGACATTTTTTGGTACCAGTACCATAAATCAAATCTTCCACACTTCATGTATAAATTTTGAACATTTTGCATTACATAGTCTTCAACTTTCATGCTTCGACACAATGAGAAAAGCCAGCAAGCTACTTTAACCAAACTATCAGGACTTACATTGTATGTTGAGTGAAGCTTCACTGACTAGGGAATGACCAGAAGTCTTATTTGTGGCGATACAAGCGAAGGTACCAGAATCCAATTCTCTGGTGACTCGGAGGATGTGTAAGTGGCTCCCTTCTTGGAACCGCCTGCTGGTGGGGACTAACGGCTTCCTGTTGTGGGTCCAGCTGAATACGATGTGGTGACGATTGGAGACATCACATCTTAGCAGGACCTCTGACCCCTCAATGACATCCATGTCCTCCGGTTTGGAACTGAAGTAAAATGTGTCCTGGGACCAAACTACAATTAATTCAATACAGAAATTAAAAAAGATTAAATATATTAGAATATGTTTTTATAAAACAACTTATACTAAAGATTTTTTACATGTACCTTCAAATATATTTTTCATTTTTCTTTGAATGAAATTTGAGGGCTGATTTAGCATGTTTTGTTAATGCTGCTACATGTTTTTTTGGCTTCCAGTGCTATGTGCAGCTGCAGCAATTTGTCAGCAGAGCTTGAAGTCTGGATCAGTTACAATGATCACTTCAATTTCTGAAGACTTATTTTATCCTTAAACTCCCAAGTCTTAATTTTTTATCCAGACTATTGATCACTGTATTTTATAGAAGTGGCAAACAATGACAGCACATTTTGTTTAAAAAACTTAGCTCTCATATACTTTGGGGAAAAAAGATGGGAATTCTGGAAACTTGAGAGAGGTTTATCTGTTGAGCTGGGTGTAATAGGGAAAGAGGATCCCCCAAGCAGACTAGTTGTAGTGAGTTATGAGGGGGATCCAGACCCTGGGATATCCTTCTATCTTCTTGTTCTGTAAAACATCCCTTCACAAAAAAAAGCCATCATCTCTCATAGGGCAAAAAGATTAACACTGTGTCAGACATATTTTTTAAATTCCTTTCTAAAAGTACAAGCTCGATTAATTACGGTGATTTATGGAGATCCTGATAGGTTAGGTGATAAATTTCAGTCTCTGAGGAAACAAATTATCAGTTCTACTCTGCATTTATCATAGACAAACATAATTTCATTTAAACTTCATTTAATATTTATTCTTTTTTTGAAGTAAATAATATTTCATACTCTTTAAGAATATCTATTTTTTATCAGCAGTAGGTGTTTTGCCTTTTCCCTTCTGCCCCTTCTCAAAAATGTATTTGGTACCCAAGCCATAAAAAAGTTTCTAGAAAATTTCTTTAAAATGCTATTAATAATTTAAAAAAAAAAACTTTCTTTCTTTGACTTGGTTGCTTCCACTAAATGTAGACTGAAATTTATTTGTTGTTAAACTTTGTATTTCAAACATCATTAATCATCTGCTACACCTGAATGTCTTTCTAGGTGTCGGAAATCTCATTAATGGCTTTATTTACCATTTCAAAACACTCATATTTAATATGCATAATACCATTCCATAAAATCGTCATTATAAATGCAAACTTAATGTAAATTAAACATGTATAAACACCCTATGTTCGTCAATAGAGTAAGCAAACTATAAGTTGTTTAGAGAGAAACTCTAAAATTTCCACAAAAAAGCAACCAACAGATTAAAAAAAAAATTAAATTCACTTTTTATAGGGGAAGTAGTTGTACTTTAAAAATGTCATTAAATCCGTGATATCAGCTATAAATCACTGGCGAAATGAAAGAAAAAATGTTAGTAAAACTAGGACATAAAACACAAAGCTATCAGACTTTTTCAGTTCAATTACCCATTACATTGTTTTGCGGAGCTCTTTCTGCCTGAGATTTTGATCATTAACTGACTTTACTGTATTGGATTGTATTGAATTGGCTGGGACACGCGCCATGGAGCAGTTAGCCCTCGGGGTTTACCCAGAACCAACAGTCAGCTGTCTGTGACACCTACCCACCTTTGTTCCATCTTATCCAGTGCAAATAATGACACCTGGGAACTTACATTCTACACCATAAACAATTCCCTGGTTCTCCTGAGGATATAGCTATTTTGTTTATTATGAATCAACCTATGTATGTAATTGTACGTTTGTTCTTCACACACAAAACATCAGTGGAAAAAGTCTCTTTGTAACATTACAAAATTTGTTTGTTTTTAGACTTGTATTTGTTTAAAAAGGATGACACCAGGCAAATATTCTTTTAAATTAGAATTTGATTTAAAATAGAGTTATTTGGGGGTTATCAGAAGGTATATAAACAGTCATTAGGTAGAAGATAGGGTGTCTGTTTTATGAGGGGTCTTATACATCCCTGCTCCGATCTTAATACAGAGCTAAATCTGTTCTTCAGATGCCCACACAGTCTTCCTGTACAGAATCTGCTGCCAGGGGCTGGAAAACAATGGTTTTATCTGAAATCCTCAAAAATACCATGATTCACAGTGCCAGGGATAAGGGGGGCCCTAGGATCTCCCTCTTATCTCATTGGAAACCCTCATAAAAAACAGCAAGGAGCATGCAATGTCCAGCTAGCTCCATCAATTCTGACTAATTGCTCTGCAGTTTTCAGTGTTAGTGTGTATACAGTAACACTAGGGTCAATGTGACCACCTAATGGGTGATAAATGGAGTTTTACCGCACATACTGGCATGTGTAATAAAAATAAAACTCTGCATAATTCATGCATTTTAATTGTTAATTCAAGAAGCATCAGGAATATTTGATGGTTCCTAATAGGGAAACAAAACTGTATGGTAAGAAAAGGCCATAAAAAGCTGTAATCAATTCTATGTAACCTGGTGAGGCAATTTGCACCCTGGGCAACTTCACATATCAACATGCACACAAGCATGTAAGTCTAGCCATTATCAGAATGATTACACAAATATGACACCTCGTAACAACTGATAGCAAATGACACCCTTGTCTATTCTGGATGGTAAAAAGTCTTAAAGTTCTATAATTAAAGACTGTAGGAAGTCTTATATTTTTGTTAATCCATCTAAACAGGAATACACCCCCATTTTTCTGTGTAATTGGTGAAATCTGATTTTTTATTGTTGTTAATTTAAAACCAAGAGGCATCAAATGTGCAATATTCTTCAAATTGTTACAATAAGGTGTGATAGGTTGCTTCAGAATTGGCCACTGGAGGTTAACTTTGACAGGAGCTGCTCTGACTGTTATGAGATTGAGATAATTGTTGCTGGAGAAATAGCAATAGCTCTGTAGGTTATAAATGACATTTTGTTTTTTCAGATGGGAAAGGGGGTAAAATCCTTTATAATATGTACACCTGCTCTAAAGTTAAACATCCTTGTTGGAATTTTTATTTTTTTGTTTTTTTCTGCCAAAGAAAAGATTGTATAAATTTGAACTTTTTAAAATTTAATTATGAAAAAAAATTATCACTGCTTGTCATACATATACATTAAATCAGGGACCTTATAGATCCCTGATTAAATATAATTTTTCATTACTAAACAGATTAACTGTAATATTTGTACAGTTCTTCAAACTGACTCCTTGGTTCTCAGAGTTTTAAAGGGACTAGAACTTAATCACATACAAAACATCCATCGATTTAATTTTGTCCAATTTTACTTACCGATGTTAAACAAGCAAACAAATACAACTGTCCACCAAGTTCTTCCATCCATTCTGATAAAATGGTAAAATCCTGTCAGTGCATCGGAAACCTTTGAAATTAATTTTTCACGCTTTCTTTTTTCGTCACAATCTGTTCATTTACATTTCACAACTCATCAAAGTTGCTGAAATATAATCAGTAAAATTAAACACGATGTAGCGTGAAATTTCCCGCTATTGATTATCCTTCTTCACGTGTTGACGATTATTACTGAGGGTGAGAATAAGCCGTGGAATATATCACTCCGCCAGGAGGCAGGGTCAGGGAAACAAACCGGGGAACGGCGCGCGCCTTTGTTGACAGAGATAGAGGCGAGGATTAGCCGCTCGGATCACAAGCCATACTAGTTAGAATAATCTAACTGTGTCTCGGTACAAGCCCTCACCACAGTTAGAATACCACCCATATACTCGTAATGTAGCAAAAAATTGCAGAATCGCAACGAAACGATTTTGAAGGATACAAACGGATTTGCACAGAAAATAACTTATAAATTAATCAAAACAAACCTTTTTGAGATTGCTTATGCCTTTTATCCCAAAAAATAATCCATATAAATACGTAAATCCAATTAATTTTCCCAACGTTTTTCTCTCCATTCAAATGTTTACATTCGGAACTCTCTAGATTGTTCCTAGTAAATGCACTATGCGGGTTATTCTTTTTGCTACATTACGAATACACGGAACGAATTCTATCGTTAAACCGGGTCCGTAGGACAATATCATTTTAACGATAGAACATTCTATCTAAAGCCATACAATCCCCGCTACCTTTAAATGAATCTGAACAACAAAGATGTAAAGAATATATTCGGTATTTTCCTCTTTATCTCCAGCAAGATATACTTATCAATGGAGATTCTTCAGGGAGTGCGTACCTTTTCACCATGTGCGTTTTTGTTTACAATAAATGCACATTTCCTATTGGACAATGATTAGTAATATGGGCGGGTCTTACAGATGCGTTATGCAGTTATTCTCGGTTACAATATTGTATTTTTTATCATTTCCACCCTTTTTTCTTCAGAGCAGAGACCATATCTGATCTGTTCGTAATAGTGAAGCTCTCCTACACTGACCCTTTCATTTATTTTCAAAAAGGAGCAAAATTGTGCATAAATTTAAGAATTACCTATGAGAACAAAACTCCTTAGGCTTAGTATATTTTGGAAATTAAATATCAAACTCTCTCAGACTGCTTAAAGGATATGAAATAATTATATTGCATTAACTTACCTCTAATTTATATCTAATATAATTTTTAAAGCAATATATCTTCAAATATACAAGTGATATCTTACCCAAAATTCACCTGTATGCATATTATATGTAGATGATTAATTAATCTCGTCACAAAATAAGGGGGGGGGGGGGTTGCTGCTTGCGAAAGAGACTAAGTCAACTGTTGAATCATACTTAGTTTTCTTTTTTTAAAAAATTCTTTGTAAATATATGTTTGATTATTTAAACGCTATATTTCCATTATTTAAGTTACAAGATACAAGATATTTTATTTACCAATCAAGGGCCCCGAAAGACATTTCAACATACAAAAATGCACAATGTAAACATTTTACACAACATAAATAATCATATAAATGACGTTATTTCAATTCACAACTTTATGTTACCAACTCTTGATAAATCTAAATAATAAAGGCGCAGATCCAAGAAATTTTTCCAGAGAGTGGGGGAGTCCACCATCGTAAAAAAAAATCCAATATAGAAATTTATTAACAAGCAAAAAAAGTAAACTTCTTACAAGGCGTTAAAAAATATATTGCATGTGTGTGAAGGCTGTGTATGTGCATGTGTGGAACCCTGCAAATCCAAGGGATCTGACCCCACCCCCCACCACCCCACCACCACCCCTCTAGATCTGTGTGTGTCATACAAAAAAAAGAAACTAGAGAAGTTAAATGTTTCCTAGCCTAATTTACAGCTGCATTAAACCTTTCAACAAGCATCAGTGAAATGTAGATTACCTACAAACTAAAGCCTCAACTGTAGAGTTGTTTGTACAATTTAACAAATATATATTCATGTATGTATGTATCCAGTTACGTAATAAAGTTCATAAAGTAAAAAGGAATACGTAAGATTGAACCTATCCATGATGACCTTGAACTTTGTTTGCTTTAAAAAAAAGAATTCCAGGGAAATCTAACTGACTTGTGCAAACCACCCAAGGGATAATTTGTGGGCAGTAATATTAAATAAAGTGGCAATATGATCCATAAATAATTATTTTTCACATTACACAAAATTGAATGGAAAATTCAAATGAGAAGAGGGAGAAAGTTGTGATTTCTTTTCCCAAAGGTGGCTGATGCTAGGTTGAATATTTTCGGTAGTGAACTTGCTTCCATTAAGACAACATATATACTATTAAGCAATAAAATGTGCTACTAAATAATTAAAGAAGATAACAATTAGGGCCATAAAAGACGGGCACTGAATGGACAATAAAATCACAGAACAGCCTGTGTCTCGGAGATTCTCATTACGGCAGTGCTGCTATTTGTACACACTTCCGTTACTATATCACAAAAAAGAGTAAACCATTAGCAATAAATTAGCCATAAAAAAAGCAGGACAATAAATCCTCCCCTCTGAATCATTTCTTATTCCAGAGCTTCACGATGTCTACCAGTATTACTGTACAAGTTAACAAGCTTTAGGATAATGTTCCGTTTCCAACCAAGGACACGTTTTTTTTTTGTTTTTTTTTTTTACTTTTTGAATAAATACTTCAGAAACATATGGATAAAATATAAATCCAAGTAAGCTCTGATGAATCTAGGGGTTTTCTTCCCATGTAATTAAAAAAAAAATTGAAAAAAAAAGTTATGTTAGGAATTGATGATCGACGACCACAAATGATGATTAAACAATTTTTCTTGGTTAAGCTTGCTTCAGCAATGATCTACACTGATCAGATTTTTATATGACATTGTACTGATCAGCTTCAAGTGAAAGACACTATTTTTGTTTCTTTCAATTAGGAATTCACAAAACAATGTTTCTATTATAAAGAAAATATATTAAACACAGAAACAAGTAGGGAAGACCCTTTATATAATACAGTGAACTTTTGAGTATAACAAGATGCAAGACATAAAATATTATCTCAGTGATTAGACTGATTTCCAAGGGACATTACTCAGATTCAATAAACAAAATCTTTTCGCAATAATAAGATTATATTTTTACCTGTATAGGCAATATATGGAGAGAACAATCAATTTTCCTATCAAAAGTTCATGAATTGGAGAGATTTTTAGATCTTCGATCAATTCAAATATGTGTTCAAACATATGAAAAGGAAAGAAGTCTTCCATACTGTAACATTTTAAATTGGAAAATTTATTAATAGAAACAAATAATGAAAAACAAGATTAGTGAAACAACATTTTACTATGTATCCAATTCTGACAAAAAATCTTGACACTTTTTCATCAGGACTTTGATTGCTTCCTCTACTAGTATGTCTGGTGCCAGTATCCCTGTGGATTCCACAGAAACTGAAACAGAAATAAAATACCATTATTACACAAGTTTTCTGGCCTTTAAGACAATGCATATTACTACCATGGAATTGTACAAGAGACTTTATAAGCATGGTTTACTGTTGCTTGTTTCAACTTGTGTGAGAATTGTTGAAAAATTTACTACTTTTACTTCCAAAATGTACTGCACACAAATTATACGTAAATCTGTGAGCATAAAAAAGATTTGAAAGTGGAGAAAGTTTAGAATAAATAATTTGTTACGACAAAATAATTAGATTTTAAAGCTTACAAATGAAATGGTCTCTGATTTTCTTCAGTTCCACTAAGTCTTTAAGGTCATCATGACGAAACACTTCTCGGCTACATGTGTCTTTTCGTGGATTTTCAACTCTGGCTACTTTTTCTCCTATAATGAGTTAACTGATAGATTAAAATAAGAATATGAACAAATAAAAATATTTAAGGCTGTATCCATAGATAATACTGATTATCTTTGTAAACTTAACACTGGCTCTCTTCATGTGAACTTACCACAGACTTCATCCATGTGAACTCCCCACTGACTTTATCCCCAAGAACTTACCAATGATTTTTATCCATGAGAACTTCCTCTGACTTTATCCGTAAGAGCTTACCAATGACTTTAACCATGATAACTCACCACTGACTTTATCCATAAGAACCCACCACTGACTTTACCCATAAGAACTACTAACTGACTTTATTCATATGGCCTTACCACTGACTTTACTCATGTGACCTTACCAATGACCTTATCCATGCGACCTTACCACTGACTTTATTCATGTGAACTTACCACTGACTTTCTCCATGTGAACTTATCACTGACTTTATCCATATAAACCTATCACTGACTTTACCCATAAGAACTTACCAATGTCTTTATCCATAAGAACTCACCACTGACTTTATCCATAAGATTTTACCAATGACTTTATCCATGAGAACTCCCCACTGACTTTACCCATGAGAACTACCAACTGACTTTATTCATGTGACCTTACCATTGACCTTATCCATGTGACCTTACCACTGACCTTATCCATGTGTCCTTACCACTGACTTTATCCATGTGAACTTACCACTGACTTTATCCAAATAAACCTACCACTGACTTTATCCATGTGAACTTACCACTGACTTTATCCATATAAACCTACCACTAACTTTATCCATGTGAACTTACAACCGACTTTATCCATGTGAACTCACCACCAACTTTATCCATGTGAACTTACCTCTGACTTTATACAGGTACATGTGAACTTACCACTCAATTTATCCATATGGACTACTACATATGAGTGAACTCACCATTAATTTTATCTATAGCTATGACACCAGGTGAGAAACAGCTCTGTAGTTTTTCTGCCAGGGCTCCTGTGATCCGAGTCTTTAAATTTATCTCTGGTAACAATCTATAGGAGGCTGTGGCTACAGGGGTCAAGAAGGAAATACTTTACATCTACATCAATACAGAAATCAATTGGTTCATAGATAGGTGACATTACAACTGAAGTATTGGTGTAAAATTTATTTATATCATACATGTACTTCTAATTTTGAAAACATTATCAGAGTAAAGTATTGAGAGGACTATGTCTTGTTGTATTATAAGAAATTTGGCAGTATTTTGAAATACTTCATCCCTGCATCGAATACCTTACTGATAAAATACAGTTGTATCATCTCACAGAGTTTTGAAGTTACAATATATCAAAGTTGTTCAATATACTTGAACTTCAAATGAAGAAAAACCCTTACATTGAGATGTAGAACAAAATAAATCTTACCGACAGGGGAGAATTTAGCATGGTCTTTTCCAATTCCTTTATTACAGTACACTCTTAAGTCTATTTCCTGTGGAGGAAAATAAAAAGAGACCAATCATCTGTCTGTCTATAGATGCTGTCCCATTAATAGGTTATTTACTGCTGGGGGATTCAGTTTCACTTGCATACACACTTTTTTTTAGATATCTTTTTCAGTGAAACATATTAAGTGAAAAGTAATTTGTGATTCAGTCCAATTCTGAATCTCAGAGACTATGTTCTACCAAAAAACTCAAATAAAAGAATTATTGTATTATCCATGCATTTATATTTGTATATGTGTGTTGTCACATTCGATGGACATTGACATTAATAAAATAATTTTTGTGGAATTCAGAACATTTTTCCCCATAATTTTGAAAAGAAAATAATATAAATGCAGAAATTTGAACTTAAGCTCACAAATAACTGAAGCAAAATTGATTAGAACAATTTTAACTCCTGTTTCTAACATTACAATGTATCAATCTATACACTTAGTGAACAGTCTTTTCATTTTGTGCTTGACAAATATTATCTGTGTGTCATCTATTACCTGCCCTGGTCTTAGTTTAGCAATCAGAATATCATCATTAACTGGCCTTAAATCTCCCTCTTTAAACTGAAAGAAAAATACAAGAAAATTACAAACAAATGATCCATATGCTAACCACTGCATAAAATAGAAAATAAGAACAGACAAATCAAGGAGAATGTGTTTAAGTATGGTATTGCTCCCAAAACTTAAATTTAGTCATTAATTTGAAAAATGTAAGCATCTGAAGCAAGTCTGTATTAAACATGTACATCTCATTATAATAATGTACTTTGCTTACCTGCTATATATTTCAGAGCAGAGAAGATGATTCTCTCACTATTAAATCTATAGAGCCCAGTCCCTACACGAGAACCCCCAACCCAGTAGGGGCTATGGATTTTAAGATTTTGAAAGGTGCACCCTTCTCATCAAAACCATGCACTAAGTTTGTCTGCTAAATATACAAGGAGAATGATAAAGTCCTTTTATGGAATTTATAGATTTTCACAATACAGTAAAAAGTTCCACCCTTACTCCAGTACCCTTGAGCCTGGAATTCCCAATTTACAAAGTTGGTAAAGGATTCATTGGTTTATCTTAATCCTATTGTGTTTTTTTTTTAAGTAATGGGTAGTATACCAAGGGAATGGTAGGGAGGTCCTTAAGAGTTAATCAGGTGACTTCACATCAATCACTGCAGAAAGCTTGATCCTAGTTTTGTCTGTATACTCACTATTGTGTCTTGTCCTTTCATGGCTATCCACTTTAAATGCTTGGTTGTCACTGAAAAAAAAAATGCAATTGAATTTTTAAAAATTCTAATCAAATAATTAATCATATCCAATCCAAAAACAAAACCAACAAGAGGCCCATGGGCCACATCGCTCACCTGAGAAGCTTTGACCATTCTGTTCTTTACCAGAATTCCCCCTTTTAATACATATTGCAACCTCCCCCTACCCCACTGATCATAATTTAGACATGTTGAAATCTACACTTCCCCAGGATGCTTCCAAGTGCACAAAAGTTTCAGCTTTTCTGGCCCAGTGGTTCTTGAGAAGAAGATTTTCAAAGATTTTTCCTATTATTTCTATGTAAAACTTTGATTCCCCATTGTGGCCCCGCCCTACCCCTGGGGGTCATGATTTGAACAATTTAGAACCTATACTATCCTAGGATGCTTCCACATAAGTTTCAGCTTTTCTGGCCCAGTAGTTCTTGAGAAGAAGAATTTCAAAGATTTTTCCTATATATTTCTACATAAAAAATTCGATTCCCCATTGTGGCCCCGCCCTACCCCCGGGGTCATGATTTGAATAATTTACAATCTACACTAACCCTGGATGCTTCCACAAAAGTTTCAGCTTTTCTGGCCCAGTGGTTCTTGAGAAAAATATTTTCAAAGATTTTTCCCATATATTTCTATGTAAAATTTCTGGCCCAGTGGTTCTTGAGAAGAAGATTTTCAAAGATTTTTCCTATATATTTCTATGTAAAAAATTCGATTCCCCATTGTGGCCCTGCCCTACCCCCGGGGTCATGATTTAAACAATTTAAAATCTACACTACCCGAGAATGATTCCATATAAGTTTCAGCTTTTCTGGCCCAGTGGTTCTTGAGAAAAAGATTTTCAAATATTTTTCCTATATATTTCTATGTAAAACTTTGATTCCCCACTATGGCCCCGCCCTACCCCCGGGGGTCATGATTTATATAATTTAGAATCTACACTAATCTGGGATGCTTCCACATAAGTTTCAGCTGTTCTGGCCCAGTGGTTCTTGAGAAGAAGATTTTCAAAGATTTTTCCCAATTATTTCTATATAAAACTTTGATTCCCCGTTGTGGCCCTGCCTTATCCCCCGGGGTCATGATTTATATAATTTAGAATCTACACTATTCCAGGATGCTTCCACATAAGTTTCAGCTTTTCTGGCCCAGTGGTTCTTAAGGAGAAGATTTTCAAAGATTTTTCCTATATATTTCTATGTAAAACTTTGATTCCCCATTGTGGCCCCGCCCTACCCCCGGGGGTCATGATTTGAACAATTTAGAATCTGCACTACCCTAAGATGCTTCCACATAAGTTTCAGCTTTTCTTGCCCAGTGGTTCTTGAGAAGAAGATTTTTTAATGAACCCACCCTATTTTTGTCTTTTCTTGATTATCTCCCCTTGTGAGGGGACTTGGCCCTTCATTTTAACAATTTAAATTCCCCTTCACCCAAGGATGCTTTGTACCAAGTTTGGTCAAAATTGGTTCTTGAGAAGAAGTCGAAAATGTGAAAAGTTTACAAACGGACAGACAGACAGACAGACAGACAGCTAGACAGACAGACGGACGGACGACGGACAAAATGTGATCAGAAAAGCTCACTTGAGCCTTCGGCTCAGGTGAGCTAAAAACCCAATTAAATAACACATTTAGTTTATATGTACTTAATAAAAGCACAATGTTTCAATTTAAACATATATTTAAAACACTGTGATGAATCAATGATATATCCTGTTCATTCTTTATCAGCTGACAGTGCTCAGTTCTCAAATCTCTTGATAGATTAGATTTATTTACAAATTTAAAAGCATGACATTCAATTATTTCTGTGATTTTTTTTATATTATTTAAAATCATAATTCAAAACGAATCCTCTTGAACTTTGACCTGACCTCTCACCTTTATGGTCTTTATAAAGTTCATCAGGGTCTGTTGTATCCTTGGCTTGGGAATTTTTGGTACATTTGACTTTGAGTTGAAATATAATGGAGTCCTCTGGAGACGCTTCTTCACCTAAGGAAAGATTAAAAAATTCATTCTTGGTGGTGAAAATATTATTTCCTTTATTATGGCCTCCCATGGTGATAACACAATTGCAACAATGTGGCATAACTCATGTCATATTAATCAGCCAAAAATATCAGACGGAAGTGGGGGTGTGTCTAAAATGAAGAATATGACACCAACACAAATTGTAGACAACTTTCTTCATTTTCCTCCAACTTTCATTTATTACTGTCATTTCTCATAACAGAAAATAGGTTTGTCATTCAGGTGCAAAGTACATCTTGGAAAAGTGACATGCACTGTAAAGTGAATTTAGGAACTCTATGACAATGTTTCTTAGTTTTTAAAGGCATTTATCATATTCCTCTAAAACAATATCCTTCAAGAGCCAAAAGCACAGTGGAAAAATAGTGAACAATTTTATAGCTAGTATTTCTGATTTGTATAACTTGCCCTCTGTTTTGTACTCAAACAGTCGGGGGTCGGCTTTAATGGGGATAAGACCGAGTCTGTGAGCGAGTACCTCATCTTGTATGATTGATGTGTTGTTGTAGATGTGTACTTTCTCTATAGCCATTGTAGGGACCTGAAAATGAAAAAAAAGAAGGAAATGATTACCTTATCAACAAATTTTAAGGATACGACTGTTTTACAAATTAATAATAAAATTTCTGATAGCATGAACAAATACAGAATGCTTAAAACATTTACAGGCAAACAGTGAACATTTTTTGAAATATGAATATTTAACGAGACACTGACTTTTATCTTTCATTCTCTCTAAAGAAAGCATAAATTAAAACCTATACTGAAATATTTATCTCAACATACCTCTGCTAGTAGAATCCTGCGGAATGCATTAGCTATTGCAGCATCAACTCCCACCATGTCAAATTCCATTTCATCAACATTCATTTTGATCATGTCTATTTGGAAATTCTGAAATATTGATATAAAATAACAAAGTAAATAAAGATTATTTTGTCATCTGAACAAATGAGTTATGAACTGGAAATATCCTCATGTAAGGCAATTCACCTTTGTAATATTACAGTTAAAGCTATTAAATAGGATTCTGTTTTTGAATTGTAGTAAAATTACTAAAATAGGCTTGGAATCAGAGATACTGTAAATGTACTTTTTTCCATGGGGTCATTATTCCTTACATCAAATTTTCTGTTCATTCATGGAGAAAAAAATACATATTTCTTGGATTGTCATTATGTTTCCTGCATTTTAAGTACATTGTGACAAATTTACCTGGTACATAGAAACTATTGTGACTGTGTAAATACCCGTAGTGTAAATTAATTAAACAGAAAAAAGTATGTCTACAGAATTTGATATTAGTTACTCTACAATGCATAGTTAGTATACCCAATAAGTAACTTCACAAATTGGAATAGGATGAAAAAATGACTTCATTTTGAATTTGCTAAATATACATGCATACATTAAGATAGTTACTGGTAAATATATATTCAATTCTTTGTTCTAATTGCATCGATCAATTGGCAATACAAATGTACCTCTTCATGTCCATATATTTAAACAAATTGTCAATTTCTGGCTATCAATTAGGGAATAACTATCTTCTAATTTGGTATTTGCGACCGTTAGGGTAGGGTGGTGTAATTTCGACCGATTATTTTTTTTAACTTAAGATTTGTTAAAGTATGTTACTGCTATGTTATGCTGCAACTTTTATTGGATCCTTTTACCTTTGAAATACCTTTTATCTTTCAGATTGTACATTGATTTTGTATATATTTTTGGGTCTTTATATGAAATAAATGCGTTCGATTTACAAGATATGTATAATGGGTAATTTCGACCGCACATAGGGTATATTCAACCGATGGACCAATACAAAGAAAATAATTGGCGTCAGCTCTAATATAGTAAAAGAAAATATGAATTTAAATTTTTCTGCTATACAGCATAAAACATCAAGTAAAATTACTGACAAAAAATGACAATTTTGAAAGTGTACCTAATTCAAAGACATCGAGTGCACCAGATGTCTATGACACCGATTTGCTAATTTGTTAAAGCATGCTACAAATGTACATGTACAGGCATCTAAACCGCATGTAAACAAAACAATGATTTTTCACTATTGTAGAACTAGTTTCTACCAAGTATTAATGTACATAATAATTATCCTAATATTTTTTCCAGATCAAGAATTCTTTCTGGTAACAGATAGTAAATTGCGTCATTTTTCATTGGTCGAAGTTACCCACTGACACTGTATTCATAAAGGGATAACTTCGGCCGATTTCTGTTCAGCTGATTTGCAATTTAATTTGTAAAAACTACATACTATAAACTAAAAGGGTATGAATTTCATTTTCAAAATCATATTTGATAAATGTCAAGCCAGGGATATCCATTGGTTGTCTTTCCATACAAGATTTTTCTGAGGGGATAATTCGCGGTACGTAGATCTAGTGGCAAAAGAAATAAACTCGTTTATAATTTTTCAAGAGATAAAGCCTTTTCTTTGATGTAATTTTCCAATAACAATCTTAATAACGCTCATGGAAATAAAATTATTTTCGACACAATATATTAAAAATATGTTTTCTTTCTGCAAAATATAAATGTACATACACAATTATACGCCATAAACAAAATATATTAAGGTATTTATGAACGGTCGAAATTAACCAGGTGGTCGAAATTACACCACCCTACCCTAATGCTGATTTAATGGTCGCAAACTGAGTTTTATCAGCGATGCGTAAGCGGAGCCGGTAAAACGGATGTATGCGACCGTTAAATCAGCATTAATGGTCGCAAATACCAAATTAGAAGATAAGTTATTCCCATTCTAATGCAATCCATACATTTTGTTTGTTGTTTACGTCTTATTTTGTTATATAAAATATGTCACTGGGCATAGTGTTTTTGCGTCGCTCTATCATGATGTCATAATGTAAAGCTTTCACTATTGTTACTGCTCGTTTTACTGCTTCAAACACCAGTACATTAGCTTATCAAAATGTGTTTTACAAAACAATTGCATTAGAATTTTTTTTTACCGGTACCTTTTTAAACTTTTTAAAATTCCAAGAATCATCAAAGTTTGGATATTCCCCAGGGAAATCTGTACTGTGAACCTGAGAAAAAAAAGAAAGAAAAATCACAGGAAACCCAAGAAGGCAAACATATTTCATTTAAAATCTAGGGAAAAAATATATTAGGGCTATAATGAAGATTATTATGTTTCTTATATAAACTTCAGAAGGTAAAATAACTATCTTTTATAGTTCACGTATAGCAAAGCTATACCAGCTATCCACCCTCAGAAAATTTTCATGCAATTTTTCGCCAATTTTGATTTCCAGTGATAAATCTATTGAATGATGATGTCATAATGACTTCAGTGGCATTTTGACATCATCAGGATTTCAGATTATTCTTGCAGTATTTTCTTACTCCAAAAAAATTTAAACCTCAAAAATTATATTATGCATCAGTATAATAAAACTCTTATCTATTGGTTGTGGGTGGGATAGCTCTTTTATAAACCCTTGACAGGAACTATTCCCTTCGAGCAAGCCCTGGGGGAATAGTTCCTTGTCGCGGGTTTGATAAAAGAGCTATCCCACTCACAACCAGTGGATAAGTGTATACTATTCAACCATTCAACCTGCTGTTTTTCAGTGGTCTTTTAACAAAACATACTTTTGAAACACAAGCAAATTGACCATCCAGGTGCCAATGTACTTCTTAACCAAAACAACACATGAACATGATGAAGATTAATAATTTGATCTGAATATCTACTTAAGTTTACTCACACTCAGATCTAAAACAATTTTATAAAGCAACCAAAAAAGCACAATCTATTAAGAGGATATACTTCTTCTATCATCCATGCAAGTTTGGTCCAGGTAGGGTTTATAGTTAATTGGGAATGGACCTGCTCCAAAAACTTTAACCTGGTCACTCATCTGGAAAATGTACGTCAGATCCAGCATCCGAAGCAAGTCTGGAAGTGTCCATCCCTAGATGCATCATCCATGCAAGTTTGGCCCAGGAAGGGCTTGTAGTTACTTGGGAATGGACCTGCTCCTAAAACTTTAACCGTGACGCCAACACTGAAGCCGGGGGTATAGCATAAGCTCATCTTGACTTCATTAAGGTGAGCTAAAAACCCAAAACCAAAATTTGAGATAATTTTATCACTTACACACACCAAACTAGAACTGACCTAAGTGGAAATATAAGGTGACTACTAAAACAAGAGGCCTATGGGCCTTATAGGTCACCTGCAACAACTTTCAATTGATATAATTTGGTTCATGTTTTAAGGTAGATGTTATGGCATTAATAATTTTGAAAGAGGCTGGCACCATTGCTAATCATAACAATAAACTTAGCAATTGCTTAGTTTGGTTACTGGGGCTGGGTGGTTGTTCTTAGACTATTTCAATCTCCTTTAGAAGATGAGCTCCATATAAAGATATACAAAAATACTGTATACAGGGTTATTTTCACCCAATGTTATTTTCGCCCTTTTCAACTTGCAAACTATTTTGCTCCATTTTAAATTCGCTCAGTCATAGTTTGTTTCAGAAATTATGTTTGTGTAATTTGAATTCAAACCGTTTTAAATTCGCCCAATCAGGAAGAGGGTGAAAAGGGCGAAATTAAAATGGGGGCGAAAATTTCCCTGTATACAGTAATCAAATTCTAAAACTAACATGTATGAAATTTTTCTTTGTCAAATGTTGACAGCTAAAGATATCATATCTGAAACTTTAAGTTATATCTGGTGGTTAATTTGTTAATAATTTGTTGACCCCAAGCCTCCTTAATACCCATAGGCAGGGTAGGGGAACAAAAAAATGCATATCAACTAGTCAGTAATGCATGACCACGGACGAAAACGGATAGCAATAGGGCATCTGAGTTTACTCAGGTGACATAAAAATTGATAGAATAGCTGGTTTCTTATAGTTATGACTAAATCGAGTTGAAATGCAATTGGTTGATGGTTGTTAATCTTTGAAAATGAGCAACCTTTGTGTTGATTATTAAAATGTCAAAGTCCATTGAACAGTACCTGTCAGTCATATGAACTTGACCTTATACAGAAAACCTAAATTGGCACAAAATCATGATACATATTTCATAGTGATACAAGAGGCTCATGGGGCACAATGCTTACTTGAGTCCCTTTGGCACTCCTGTTCTTCATCACATGATTTTTAAAAGCTCATTTTTTATTCACAGGAAAAATTTATTTCCTTTTAGAGTATTCTCTTTTTTGGCCAATCTTACCCCTACAGAGCTGTGGAAAACTGCCGGTCATGCCGGCAAGACCGGCAAAAAATGCCTGTGACCGGTAAAAATGCTTTTGATGTCGGTCCAAATGACTGACCTCTTTCTTTGTTAAAGGTTTTCGTTTTTTTTCCATTTTAATTCAGGCTTATCATCGGCGCACTTCCCAGCTTAATTATTGTACCTTATATACGATTGCGCAATCCTACTTTTTCTTTGCACGAGGTCGAGGCTATAGGAAATGAAAGCAAAACCAGCATTGTCTCGCGTGACCTTTTAAATTTACAAATAGGACAGAATTAGGTAGAAAACATAAAAAAGATAAAGGCAGGCTAAATACCTGGGTATGTAAAACATTTCTAAAGAAAAAATTCAAACACAGTTAAGTAAAGCGGTAAACCTTGTACTTCCGTCGTCCCCGACTGTTCCAGATTTCGTTTTTTTTTTTTTCATCAATTTCACGATGGTGGTATCTTAATTATCGCTGTACATAATTTCTTAGACTCATTTTCGAGGTAAATTATAATTCGCAAATGCATTAATGTTTTAAAAGATTACGTTTACTATGCATAATTATAATTGACACCTGCCCAAAAGTGATGAAATCTAGTATTGTAATAAATGCAAAAAACGAAAACGGAAGAGGATTTGGAAATGGAGACTGAATGTTTTCATTAAGTAAAGTGTAATTAAGAAAATAAGTGGTATGCTTTTCTTTTAATTTTGCAACTTACTAATTCGGACTGGCAAAAATCACTTCGGACCAGCATATTTTGTCTTCTTGCCGGTCCGAATGACTGGCTATCTGAAAAAGTTTTCCACAGCTCTGCCCCTAGATGGTACTGGGTAGAAATAGGGGGAGGAGGTGTTTGAACAAAACTGAATCTGCAGAATCTATGAATGTTTTCATATTAATAATATTGTACTTTTGAAACATTTTCACTATACATCCCCACCTAAAACTTCAATCCTCTATTGTGGCCTTGCCATACCCTGGGATCTATGAATAAAACAGTCTTGAATCTGAGGATGATAATAACATATATCACAAATGATGGTAATGTTGTTTTGAAGATTTTCTAACTTTTTGCTTTTAATTTTACCCCCCCCCCCTAATATTTTCTCCTTTGTCCCCAACATTCACCCACCCTAGGGCTAATGCCAGTAAAAAGCTAAAGTAGAAATGCAAAACCAAGAAATTCTCAAGAATAAAATGGCCTATTAGGTGTAGATTAGTTTACTGTTTAAGGTTGTTGCTAAAGACGGTAAGCTTTTTTTTTTTAAAAAGCTCTACTTGCTACTCTCGATGAATCTCACTGACATTAATGGTATACAACTGTGCTCATCCCTAGGATGGACCATAAAACATTTAACATACTCTATGCATACATACAAATCTGTTCTGGTAGAAATAAAATTATGCATCTTATTTGGACATTAGCAACTTTTAGTTTTTATTCGTCAGTGTGACAGAAATTGAGAACAACTATAAAGCAATAAATTTTATCACCAACAGGCTCAATAGGAATCTTTCTGAGGTTGTATAATTTGATTTGATGCAACAAATGTACAAAATAAGTCCACTCTTCAATACAGTTTTACATCCACTAAAAATATCTAACTGTAACATATTGTTTCATTTTAGAAAGCAAACAGCAATTTAAATCAATTACATTATCGACTCCATGCTCATTCAGCGTAACTCGTGTTCTAGTGTCCTCTACAATGTCCATCGTCAATAAATAAATTGTTTACGCATGTATTTTTCTTTACAACATATTTGGTCAATGTAAATTACAAGTTTTGTCCTTTATAGTCAGAGCTCGTAACATCAAACGCTGATTTAACCAAGGAAAGGATCCACTAAAAGAGAAAACCAAACAGTCAAAATATTTAATTTATTCATTTATTTGTAAAGGTTAGTGAAAACTAGGTTTAAACACAGTTTAATTTTTTTTTACTATGAAAAAAGATATTCAGTTTTGTAATGAAAGTCATCTTCGCTAGCCAAGGGTTTCTGATACGCTACTCTCCTCATGAGAGGAGAGTATCAAAAACCCTTGGCTAGCGAATAGGAATAAAAGTGTACGAGAATGTTATGTTTGACATATCGGGTGCGTCGATTTACCCAAATGGACCCAAATGGAAGCCAAATGGACCCAAATGGAAACTCAAATGAACCCAAATGGAATATAAAATATATATATAATATCGTATTCTCAAGTTTTTACTTATTTCAAATATAGAAAATAATGAAATTAAAACAAAAAAGAGAATATTTTAATATCATTATTTTCTTCAATTGTATTTTTTTTTTAAAATGCTATTTAAGATTCTATTTGTAATAACTATTGAACATAATTGAATACAAAACTGAAGTATTTGATAGTTTCTATGGCCGTAGGATGGGGGGGGGGGGAGGCCATGCCAACCCAAACCCCCGCCCTTACCCCCAAATAAATTTGCAGGTATATAGAATACTATAAAAAAAAACTTCATTTTTCAAAACACAATATTAGAGATTAACTAGAGCAAAGCTCGTTGCAAAGCAACGAGAAGGTCTTCCGTCCGGTTTGACCGGAAGTAGCTTTCAGTTTTAACAAAAATGAGAAACAACGCCCCAAATGGTTTGAATCCTCTAAAGCTATGTTAATTAATGCAAAAATAAGCCATTTATAGCTACTTCCAGTTTGGCCGGAAGTGACGACGACGCACAGAAAATTTATATTTAAGCTCCCAGAGACATATGTTACCCAAAAACTTGT